TGCGAATTTTGAACAAGCGGGCCCGAAAAAATAGTTCGCAGATTTCATGCGGTCCGCTTGCAGAAATTCGGAAGAATGTTGGCCAGTTTTTAGGGGAGTGCTCGGGGAAGTATCGTGGTTTTTCTATAGATTAGTTGCGACGCAGTGGCCGCACTCTCCGCGAGAATATGCAGAAATATTGAGGGTTGCACGGTCGGACCGTGCAACCCTCAATATTTTTTTAAGGACCGCACAGCCCATAGATACCTTCCGCTGAAAGAAGGTACCTCAAACTTGAGTAATTAAACCATCGATAACACCTCTGCTACTCAGATAATCACCGGGGGCAGGCGGTCCGCAAACTCGGGCTTTTCTGCAGGCGGTCAGCAGAATTTTGGGGCGTGGCCAAACCTTCAGCGGGCGGCAATTCCTTTACGGTCGCATATTCTGCCAGCGGGCAGCAATACAGCATTTTCAGCAAGCGTTCGGACTCTTTTTATGCAGTTTCGGGCATACGTCGAGCACAGGTAAGACTCTGTGTGGCAGAGGTGTCACGTTGTAATTACTCAAGTTTGAGGTACTTTCTCTCAGCGGAAAGTACCTGGGGGCTGCGCGGTCCTCCACAAAGGACCGTGCGGCCCCCATAAATCCTGCATATTCTCGTTGAAAGTCCGCGAGAATGCGGCCACTGCGCCGCAGCTAATCTTCAAGGAAACCGCGATTGTTCTCCAAGCATTTGTTCAAAATTTCGCTAAGGCCCGTATGCAGGGGATGTGCGTTTTACCATTGAAATGATCCCCGCTGGGGTTCCCCTCCGCTCCCCAGGCAACCCTCGTATGCACGCAAACATTATCGGCGAAGGGATCCCCTGGGAGTAGGGGAAGGGAACTCTCTTATGCACAAGGGGATCGAGCGGGGACATCACTTTTCTTTCGCTTTTCTGTGGTAATCTTCTTTTGTATTCTCATCTTTTGACAACTGCTTATCTTCAGTTTTCATTATCGGCAGATAATATAGGCGTTGCGGAATGCGCGCCTGCCGTTATGCGCTTGGCACAGCCAAAATAATATTTTTTAGACCCTATATAGTCCTGTAATTGTCATGAATGCTTTTCACTTGCGCTCAAGCTGCTTATTTTAGCGTAATTATGTACAACAATAAAAGTCCAGATGTCTCTGCAGAAAACGGGTAGAAGACTTTATGCTGCCGAAAAAAAGGGGGAGGGGGCGCGCAAACTCTAACCAGCATTTCTACGCATAATAGAAGCTGCAAATTGTGCCAGCTCTCCATAAACGCTGTAGTTAGCAGCTGCATATCGTCCTTTACCCCAGGGATGTGATCCCCAGTGGCCACTCCTGCTACGCACAAGGGGAACGCTGGGGAGGGGATCACTCCCCTGAAGATCTTTACTCAGAAACACGCTAGTCTGCTAATTTTCATTTTTCTCAAAGCAGTTTTACGTTAGGATAACAAGATAAAGACAACTTATCATATAATATGATAGTTACAATATGTTGTACCAACCTTAATGGATAAAACTATTATGTCAAATAGAAAATGCGCAACTCTCATGAATGGTAACAAGCTTTTACAGATATTCGAAACTGGCAGATACATGCCCGGATTTTCACGAAAAGCGAACGTAGAAGAGAGAGAGACAAAGCTGCAAGCTACAGGTCGCTGAGAGAGGAACCCGACTACCATGGAAAATCTTTTAACAATTTGAACGAAATGCTTTGTAATAATTGACTCAATCAGAATACTCGCTTCTCTGGCTTGACCTACACCATCGAACCCCTACTCCGTTGTAGGGGATGTCGATCCCCTTCCCCGCGTTGTTGAGTTGATTTCGCGCATACGGGGTTCGAGTGGGAGGGGGAAGGGATCCCCTCCCCCCTTCGAACCCGTTGCACTGGGGTTCGCTCGATCAATACTTCTGAAACCATTCACACCATCCCCGCTTAGGTGCAGGGGAGGGATCGCTCCCCTCCCCTCTGTCATGGCGGGCTTCGGCGGAGGGGATTGTTCCCCTGGGGATCCAGTTCCCCTTCCCTCCCCAGCGGGGACGTACGTGCATACGGGCCTAAAATTCTTCCAAATATCTGCAAGCGGACCGCAAGAAATGAGCGAACTATTTTTCCGGTGCCCGCCCGCCCATAAATCGCATGGCCGCCTGTTCCCGGCGATTATCTGAGTATATAGAGTCGTATCTTTACACGGCGTATGCCCGAAACTGCGTTAAAAGAATCTTGGCGCTTGTTAAAAGTTTAGCCAACGCTCGCTGAAAGATTATTTGCCGAGAGCTTGCAGAAAATGCTGTATTGTTGCCCGCTGGGAGAATATGCGACCGTAAAGGAAGTGCCGTCCGCTGAAGGTTTGGCCACGCCCCACAATTCTGCTGATCGCCTGCAGAAAACAAGTTTGCGGGCCGCCCGCCTTCGGCGATTATCTGAGTGCTACGACAGTGCAAGTACTCAGATAGTCGCCGGGGGCGGGCGGTCGCGCCTTTCTGCAGGCGATCAGCAGAATTTTGGAGCGTGGCCAAACCTTCAGCTGGCGGCACTTCCCTTACTGTCGCATATTCTGCCACAAGGAAGCAATACAGCATTTTTTGCAAGCGCTCGCAAATAATTTCTTCCAGCAAGCGCTAGCCAAACTTTCAGCAAGCGCTCGGACCTCTACGTAGTATCGGGCGTACGCCGAGCAAAAGTGATACTCTATGTGGCAGAGGTGTCATCGATGGTTCAATTATCCGAGTTTGTACCTTCTTGCAGCGGAAGGTACCCTGGGCAGTGCGGAAAGTCCGCGAGAATGCGGCCACTGGACCGCAACTTATCCATAGAAAGACCGCGATAGTTCTCCGAGCGTTCGCCTAAAAACTGGCCAAAATTATTCCAAATTTCTGCAAACGGACCGCAAGGAGTCAGCGAACTTTTTTTGGGTGCCCGCCTGCTCATAAGTCACATGACCGCCTGACCTCGGCGATTATCTGAGTAGTTGTAATTAGATCAATTCCGAAATAAATCGCACGGGTTCTGATAGGAACGATAGCAGAAACGAGGAACTGAATGGTAGCGAGGCCATTGTCAAATATTTATTATTGGATGAGACTAATCTAAGTAAACCTCATTATCATCTCCGACTTCAACTTTTTCGCCATCATCCTTAAACAGCTATGAATCCAAAGGCAAAATGCAAGGCAGGCTCGGCAAAATCAAACACCTCGAAATTTTTGTATGGAAGGTTGCTAGCACCCCAAATACGAGAATGGAACAGGTCCGAGCGCACAGCATGCAATTTCTGCCTAGAAAATTGCTCCTTAACCAGTGCGCGCGAGCCATTCTTACACGCTCTCGGACGAGCTCGCGAATTTTTCACGTCGTCAGAGTCGGCATGCCGCAATGCTATAAACGTGAGGGTCCCACAACGACTCTGCGTCTCTAATCATGGCGGGGAGCGTTCCACTCGTCCAAATTCAAAATGACAGGGCTTGGAAAATGCTGGTTTTCGCCATTCTCGCGCTCTAAAAAAATGGGTTTCCGGAATCAGGCGCAATGATCAATGGCTTAATTCTTTGACATTTCTTTCACTACTTTGCATTTTAAAGGGGGACCTTTTTCGAATTCGTTTATGTGCAAACCCCACTTCGTTGAACAGCCAAAGAAAGGGTAATCTATGATTCTATAAAAGTGCATCATCGAAAGCTCGAATCTGCATATGGTTTTGGTTTTCACATGTAATGAAAATTTCCATACAGTGTTAAGAATGACACCGTCGCGAAAGATCGCATTAGAAGTAAAACCCAGAAGTCTCTTTAATTATTTATAATGTGGATGATAAAATGCCGCTGAACTAGGAAGAGTAAGTCTAAAGTCAAAGTACCTGCTAGCAAATAGGGAGCTTTTATTTGTTAAAATATGCAAATATAAAATTAGCAGAAAATAGAAAGCAATTATCGAACAATGAGAGCATGTAAAAAGTACTTGTGTTACATGCAAATAGCGAAAAGTAACACAAGTGTGGTCAACAGTGTAGATTTGATTGTGAGGGTTTCTGAAAAGATGGCAAACAAACTAAACTCTGGAGGTTTCAAGACTGAAATGAAATCGTATATACACATAGAGATCGCTTGCAGTTTTCTGCTTTTCGTTTTTCTAACTTCCAATTTTATGCTACTTTCAAGTTTGCGAGGAGCTCCAATACTCTCTAATTTTAGCAGCATTATCTGGTATAGAGTCACTGCTTTTTTGTTCTCTATCAAACTCACAAGGGAACCGTTTCGAGTCGAAGTGGCCTTTCTAGATGAGACCCATACTGCTTTGAAGAGCATTAATCGGTGATTCCAAATCTGCTTTCCAAATCTGCCAAGCGCCTCTGGACGCCGAGTTATGCTAGTTTTTCAGGTCAAAAAATTGAACGCAAAACTGAAGCAAAATCGCCCAAATTTGCTCAAATGGTCCAGTGTCAAGTATCGGAGCTGTTTATGCAATGGACATATTTTATTTAATATGCTAATACTTAACATTGCTTTATCTGAGCGCTGGAAAGATTGTAACAATCAATTTTACCTAAATTCTGCATTCATTTTTCGTTCCGAAGAACGGTCATAACTTGGCGTCCAGAGGCGCTTGGCAGATTTGGAAAGCAGATTTGGAATCACCGCTTAATACTCTTTGAAGCAGTATGGGTCTCATCTGGAAAGGCCACTTCGACTCGACACGGTTTCCTTGTCAGTTCGGTATATTTTTACACCCACCACGCAAAAACTGCGGACACTTCGGTTCTCTCACTACATTGCTGGTGTCTGCAAACTTATTATATAACATTACCACTTCAGCGAAAAGGAGAAGATTGATATGGCAAGTGTGCAAATTACAAAAGCAATAACTTGTGAAAATTTTCAAAGCGCAGCAGAAAACCCGTGGGTGGCATACTTGAGTTACCTTTAACTACAGTTGTCAAAAGATGATCCATGCTTCAATACGTCAATCGCAAATTTTCTTTATCACTGTTCTTTTCAGGTGAAGGCGCTGATGAACTATTTGGTTCTTATGCTTACATGCAGCGAGCACCAAACACTTTCCATCTGCACAAAGAGATACTTCGCCGTCTCACTCACCTCCATCAATATGACGTCCTGAGATGTGATCGCTCCACATCTTGTCATGGCTTGGAGATCAGAGTGCCTTTTTTGGATAAGCGGTGAGTACATATCTTTTACACTAAAAATGGATACTCGAGAAAGCTATGCGCGCATTGTCTAGCGAAAACGAACAGGCTCCACTAATTCCGTGTAACATGAAAGTAAGATAGATCACAAGGATCAGTTTATTGTCACGCATGTTCAAGGCAATCTTTATTGAATAATTCAAATTGCTATCTATTATTTGTGATTAAAGAGGTCCCAAGACAGCGTAAATAATGAGCGAATTTAGATTCATCGATCTTGTCGCTCGACTTCCCCCTACATACAAATTAATCCCACGAAAACTGGAAAAGTTCTTGTTGCGCAATGCTTTCGAGGGTTGGTTACCTGCAGAAGTATTATGGAGAAGCAAGGAAGGATTTTCGGAGGCATTAGGTAGGAGTGTGTTTCTTTTTTTAATGCACTGAAAATAAAAGGATAGTTCAGGCAAAACAGACATAGGCGACATCGTCCACAATCACGCCACATCTATAATATCAGAGCAGATGTTCGCTGAGAGAGCAGACAGATTCCCAGATAGAATACCCGAGACTTTTGAAGAATACTGGTACAGGCAAATATTCGAAGATACATTCCACTATGGGAAAGTTGGCCCATTAGTGCACACTAAAGTTTACAGGTCTGCGAAGATCAAGTCGATTGTGAATAAAAAACTCAGCAGATGTTTTGCAGAACAGCAGCTTGGCAAATGGTAGATGAGAAAGAGAACATAAAAGATTCATTGAACGTCAAGGAAGAGATGCACACGATAATACGCTTGCGACGGCGCTCCACAGGCAGCACGACCCTTTCCGGTGTAGCGTGATAGAAAGCTTCAACTATCTTATGGAATCAAATTTCAACTTCTTGATTTTGCCTTTCTCATGCCATTCCACGGTAGATATCTCTGCTCCTTATGTTCCTTTTTCTTCAGCACAAACATATGCGTTTGATATCGCCAAAAGGTTTTATTTGTTGGCTTTTTGGGTAGTAGATGCAACGCACAGAAGAAAATCGGACGACTTTGTTTTTGTTGACATCTCGCTGTGCAAAAATGAGTGACTCATCAAACATCACCATGACTGCAACGCAAAAATTCGGCCTCACAGACACAGAATGCATGCACGTTCTCGAGAGCAGAAATCCGGTGCTGTCTTCCATTCGTTAGTTTCGTGTAGATTATTTGATTGTAATAATAATATCGCAGTTACTCAAAGTATTCTTGTATGTACATAATGCAATCGTCATTACAATAAATGTCCGAATGCCATCCTCTTGTGCGTACAATTGAGTTGGCGCCCCCTTTGTGAGTGCATTGCGCAGAGTGCACAAGTGCGTACACATCTGTGGCCGTATTCATCAACGAACCCTCAAGGTTAAAATCTACCTCAGCTAGCATTTTGGCTTATAACCCGTATTCAAAACATGATCGCAATGAAATTCTCTCATGGGTTAAGTCTACCTTGAGGTAAAAATGAATCTTTAAACGCATAAACCCGTACTCATCATTCTACCTTGAGGTTGAATTTTACCTCAATCATCATTTCTCCACCAACTTTCCATTATGCGTCCAAGGTAGAATTTAACCCTAGAATAGCTAGGGTTAAAATCTACTTTGAATTTGCACATAAGAGTTGAACTCTTTATAAGGACCTCCTTCATTCTAATTTCTGAGGACCATATTCTGACGCAACCGTTTTCGAGGACGAATATATTCTATCAATACTAGCTCAAATTTCACTTGTTTACTTACGAAACTTTTTTTTTGTCGAAATTACCTTTTTAGATGGGATGTATAAGCTTTGAAAAGCAGAAAACATTCCAAATCTGTCTTTTTATTTGTGGAACGTTCCTTGACGAGGAGTTGTGAGCGTTTATTGCAGCAAAAATTTACATATAATTTAGGATGGAGTTGCTAAATCTCACTAGTCCTCAAATAAAGCAATAATTGTAAGATTTATTATGCTGGACACTAAGTTTTGCACCTAGTCTCATAAATTCAGCCTTTTTAGTTATGGCGCATTCAAACTTTGGCAATATGTAAAGAGTAATATGTGAAACAAATGCGCGCAGATTGCTCAAATTTTGACATGAAATAGGAAAGTTTCAGGCATTTTTCGGAAACTAGTGAATTTTGAGAATCTGGAGTTTCAAGTTAAAATAAAGCCGTTACCAGCCTAGACCATGCGCAGTGATCCGGAATCGTGTACGAATTATGGCTAAAAGTTGACTCACTGGCTTGGTAAGAAATAAACAAAATTTAGGGGCGTCGAGATTTGGCTCCCTCACAAAGTCGACCAAGTCGCAGTACGCAAGGGCTGCTGGGGACGGCCGTCAATGACTAAAGAGTCAGAAGCTCAATTTTCGCCGAGACTTGACATAGTAAGGCTACTTGACCTATCAGATACGAATCATATTCACTGGTTATATAACGCCTCTTTCCTTGTTCAGGGTGCGACCCTATATATACAGTAACCTTACAGAAAAGCCTTTATCACGCAAAGTCATTTTCATTTTTGTGATCAGCATGTCGGATAACACCTATACCAAGTTTCAGCTAAATCTGTCATATTTTGTATTTTTTCATTTTATACCATATACCTAGCTTAACCCTCATTGTGAAGCTAGGATATGGCAGAACAGCAGCTGCGCTTGTAGCTTACGTCACAACCTACACAATCGCAAAATTTAAGTGCTTGTGTCGAGAGAGAGAGGAAAGCATTGAATGAGTTGCAAAACTTAGTTTTCAACTATTTGATTATTGGAGTATCTATTAAATAAAGTACTCTAATGATTATCATTGCTCCACTGAAGCGCTAAAAAATATATTGCGACCATTTTTGTCCTACTTGTACATCCAATTTCCGCTCCAAAAAACGCTCATGCCTTGTCCATAAATTCCGCAGCTAAGTAAAGCAGTGGCATTAGCGTTCTAAGCCGTTTAACATGGTATCAGAGCCCAGCACGGCGGTGGCAAATAGACACCCGTGAAACGACTTCGTCTTTGCCACTATCGATTTTTATGATTTCCCACTTGATCTCGCCAGTTGCGTAGGTTGTTCGATTGGGCGATTCCCTCCTTAAAAGGACCGGCGTCGTGCTGTTCCGGATCCTAACAAAGAGGCGAGGAGGAGTATTGGGACCAAAGTTTTACATACCAAACTATAAGACTGAAACAGAGTTAAGTAAAAATTTTGGTTATGTGAATCTTTGCGGTATTTGCGTTTCATATGATACAGCTCAATTCTAACTCTACTTATACTCTGATGGCCATGAAGCTTGTTCTTCTTCCTAATGTACACGTTGTCCCAAAAGTAAGTACTCACTCTTTGATCGTTAGTAACTCTCTTTTCAGGAAGCCTTTTGCTTAGCTGCAAGTACCATTCAGTAGTGCAGGCTTCAACTTAGGTTTATAGTATGGAGCAAAACACCCATGGCTCTTAATTGCTGTGAGATCGGTAGGAAAATATACAGCGCCATTTTGAAATAGGCCAGCAAAAAAAGCTTCCAAAAAGCTGAAAAGTTGTGTAGCAGTGTTTCAGAAATGCTAACACAATTAGACAACGTGCTGAGAGTTTTTACACGTTCCAATTGGTTTAGATTCTAAAGCACTGAAAAAAGGCGATTGCGGTTTACTTGGCTAAGTTGTGAAAAAAAGCCTTCTGGAATAATTGGAAACTTCACATTCATGATCAGCGACTCTGTTTAGTCTTGTGATAAAGTTTTCAGCTTGCTGAGTATCCATTTTGGGCCAAAATTCATACACGGGTTTCAACCATCAGTGTATAATAAGTTTATATAAATTTGATAGGAAGTTAAGGAGGGTCTGACTTTGTTTGAAACCCTCTTCAATTTTCTGTTGTAATAATACAGTAATGAAGAGCTATAGGTGCATCGCTCCATACTGCAATCTGCTGGTAGCAATCAGGCCTGCTCTACTGGATGGCTGTTGAATCTAACCGAAAGACTTTGTGTGAGAAGAGATATTAACGATTAAAAAGTGTGTACTAACATTTGAGACAACCCTATATCAATTGCCACGTCCAATCATTTGAAACATGATTGCTTAGTTCATCAGAAGACTTTCCTGCCAAAACATGGTAACGTGCACCTACAAGATATACGGCATTATCGACATGGTAGTGGAAAATCACTAGCAGTAGAAGATTTCATGCACAGCTGATACGTCATGGTATGTTCCGAATAAACGTCAGTGAGTGCTCTGCTGACTATCAGGTAGATTTTGACCTCAAGGTAGATTTGTGAATAGCAAAGTTACCTTGAGGTTAAAATCTACTTTGAGGCGTGATCTCAGGATAAAATTTAACCTCAAGGTTCTTTGATGAATACGCCACTGGAAAATTGCACCTTCTGACTTCGAAGTTCTAATTTTCCCACTCGTTTGTCTCTCAGGCTCCATTTGCTTGAGAATAACTTTGGGTTGAAAATTCAATTCCGCAAAAGAATAAATGCGCGATATTGAAACAGAAAATCTATAAAGTCATGATAAAGTATGATGTGAACTATAGGTTGGTGCAAAATCAATGCGATAGAAATTAATTATGTGGAAAAAATTGACTACATCGCACACTACATCATGGATGAATGTTGCGCTCATTTTATCTTATATTGAAGCTAAATGTCTGTTTGTTTCTATGTCTGTCTGTCTGTATGTATGTTCCGAATAGGAAGTTCCATTTCTGAACCGATCCGGCCTAAACTTTGCACACATACATTTCGGGGTGGGGGCGGGCGCCATAGGATACTTTTTGTTATCGGTCGATAGCGATTTTAGAGATTTTTGACGGTTTTTTTACGACGTTTGATCTATGGGATGGGAGTTGGTACAGGGGTTAAGTCAGCATGCCGATTACGAATACAATATTAGTTTTCGGAATTATCCCTTGCGTTTGTCGACTTTATCGGTTTTCTTGAAAAGTTTGAGCTAAAGGGTTGGTACAGGAAGGGAGGGGGGGAGGGGGCAAGTGAGCATGCTGATTGCGAACACCATATTAGTTTTTGGATTTATCCCCAGGGTCGAGTCGAGCAAGAGGTGTGGCACACAATCACCGGATACGACCCTCCCTTAAGTTCTGGTCTCAATACCTCCCCCTTCCGCAATATCGTTCGCCTCTCGTAAGCATGTTAACGCTCTACCAGGCATGTTTAGTAACATATTCATGATTATCTTATCAAGTAACTCCTCTGGGCCATGCTCTAGCGAATTCTGAGGGTTATTATTAATGGGCGACCCAAGTGAAGCGGTCATTTTCAAACATGGTATATATTTCTAAAGTGAATTGGTTACTTCCTTTTGCACTCTATATAGAGCACAACTCCCTGTTGCCCGTATTATGAATCCTGTTTTAGATAAACTATGGAAATAGAAGCCAGTCAGAATTTCATGTGTTCCATTTTTCGCTTACAGTGTTTGTCCTTCTAACAAATATTGCTCAAACAAAAGGAGACAGAATTGGCTCTAATCACCTCTACACAAATTAGGAGGCTATTGAACCGTATATATTTTGTTCGATGAAATTGTCGAGAAACTCGACCGATAATTTCTATATTTTCTCTGTATTTTCTGTTTAATGATTCATTTTTGATTGCCTTTGAAAGCTGAGTGCGCGGCAAGCTCTTTCTTTGTACGCTGCAGCTGCGCCGAGAATCAAGTAAAAAGTAAGGGGGGCCGCAGCTGGCGACCTCCTCCTTTCGTTCTTGACTCAAGCGTCATTTGATTGTCATTGCTTCATCTTATTTGGTTGTCTTATATTTACTTACATTCTTAGTGCGTTTACTTGCTTATGGTTCAGGTAGACAAAAACATATCAAGTATTTTATCCCTAACGTTTGCCATAATCAGAATCTCATGTCAAGCTGGTATTTTATTTTGTGTGCATTATCGTTTATTTGAATTTTATAGTTGTTAATAAAGGTTTAATTACCCAAGTTTGAGGTATCTCCTCGTGCACAACTCCGTCACTCTAAAGACCCGCGTGGCAGTTGATTTTGGTGTCTTTGTCTAGTGGTATTCGACGGTTATAGTATTGACTATATATAGAACCCGTCCATTTGTTACATGGTGCATCGACTACACGGATTCAGGTCGGTGAAGTACAACAATTGATTGTGGACATCTTGGAACATACACTAGAGCTTTTGCTGTATCCGCTCTAGTTTGCTCTCATTTTCCGGAACAAAACAAGAATTTTTGCCTGATCCGCTCTTGTCACATCAATATCGACAATTGGAACAATTTTTTCGCACAAGACTGATCGCACTCCACGAATATCATATCTACTGAAGTCAGAAAACTTTCCTTGTCTGTCCTGAAGCATTGTTGGTCACTGCAATTAATTATGGCTGCACATTTGATTACGGACAAACGCCTTTTGACTCACTATTGCAATAAGCTGGACACTATCATCTCAAGATTCAAGGGCGAGGAACTTGAGACCCTTAACGTAGCCGCAGCGCAAGGAGAATCAGCTTCTCAATACACAAGGGAAAGTCTCCAGCGACTCAGCGAAGCAATAGGAGCTTTAGATACAGTGACGCACAACATCAAACAAACAATGACGGAGTACGCTACCAAATTCACGGAGCTGGACTACCCGACCGAAAAGGACAAACAAGACTTTGAGGAATATTCAGCAAAAGCGGAAAAAGCGCTCATTTCGGCCACGGATTACTTACTGGTGCTGAAGGCAAGGGTTCACGCTTTCATTGTGGTAAAAGCAGAGCCAGAGCACAACCAACACAGTGGATCAGTCCAGGTACAAACGACATCACAGCCTTCGCATGAAAGATTGGACCTTCCCACACTTCCTGTACCCATATTTCAAGGAAACATATGGGAGTGGGACAATTTCTGGGAACTGTTCAACGAGAATGTCCATTCAAGAGATATACCGGAGTTGTGCAAATTCAACTATTTACTGCAAGCTCTTCGAGGAGATGCTCTGGCACTAATTAAGAAATTCCAAGTCGCCAAAGGAAATTATTCAAAAGCCATCGAGTTTCTTCAACACAAGTACGGTGACCGCGACGAACTCGTCACACATCTCATTGAAAAACTCGGGAAGTGCCACCTGCATTCGGCATCCATTCGCGACCAGCGAACACTCTTCGAGCAGCTGCAAGTCATTATCATGCAGCTGCGGCAGAAAGAAGTACAAGTGGACAACCAGTGGATGTACCAGCAAGTTCTGACGAAATTCCCGGATACGGTACAGCGCAAAGTACTAGTACGGAAACAAGCCGCAAAAAACTCTGGAGTCAGCTTCAACCTCGACATGCTTATACAGTATCTTGAGGAAGAAATCTCCACAGACGAAATGCTTGCGGTCTACATGAAGAATACCAAACCGGACCCAACACCTACCAAGCCGGATAGAAGACGATCTGACCGAATAAAAACGTACTTAGGGACTTGCATGTATTGTGAGGGAAGACACAAGCCAGCGGATTGCAAGAAGTACAGTACTCCACAAGAACGCTCTGACTACCTACGCAATAACAAGCTCTGCCTCATTTGCGCCTCAGCACAACACTCAACGGCTAATTGCAAAAAGCGGATGTGCTTCAGGTGTGGAGGACCCCACCACACATCATGCTGTTTCAGAGGTGACATTATGGCAGGCAAAGGAGCACCAACGAAGACAAGTCCACCGGTGAGCGAAGGGAAAAAACCCAAAGCCCGAGACACGGAGCGACACTTAAAGCACACAGAAACAAGAAAAGTAAACGCCCTCCATGAAGACAACTCCGAAACTGAAGCTGTGTCTGCACTGGATCTGCAACCAGTACACAAAACTAGAAGGTTGAGCAGAACTTTCCTTCCTGCAGGAATACTTACAGTGATGAATCCCTCGACGAAAACGTTGAAAAAGGTTGGAGTGCTTCTGGACAGCGGAGCAGAGGTGTCTTTCATTGAAAGCTCTTTGGCGGAAGAACTGGAACTTCCCACAATCGAGACTACAAGGCTCCCGATTCACACCTTTGGCACAGAAGAAGTGAAGGAAAATATATGCAGGCGCGTGCTCCTCCAAGGGTGGGACTCAGAAGGACACACTCTTGATCTGAAGCTCTTCACCCATGATGTACTGACCGCGCCACTAGACCGTGCTCCCTACAGAAAAGAAGACCGAGATTACATGAAAGAGCAGAACATTCTGATGACAGATTGGCAGAACAACACTACAATACAACCACGAATTTTATTAGGTTGCGATCAGTTGTGGCCATTGATTAAGGAGAATCAACCAAGTGTCTGTCTGCCATCAGGACTTTACCTACTTTCTACTCGTCTAGGGAACTTGATCACAGGCATTGTCACAAAGCCCCAAGAAAATTTACTTCAGAAAGACGAGACGGCAAAGTGGGAAGCTGCGTGCACAATGGATGGCAAAATCAGTATACTAACGGTGCAGACGCCTATAATACAAGCAGGCGAGGACGAAGACTCCTTTGAGAAGTATCTCGTCATGGAGTTCGCAGGAACGGAGGAATTCATGAGCTCTGAAAAAGTAGCGCAGGAAAAAATCGATCAGCGTTTGGAACCAATTCAAGGAAACCATCGAAAAAAGAGAAGATGGTTACTACGTGCGCTTACCATGGAAGTCAATACCATTTGAGCTCCCGGACAACAAGGCCATCGCAATGCGAAGACTAGAAAGCGTTTGGAACACTTTGCGGAAGGACGAAAAACTGCTGGAGCAGTACAACGAAGTCTTCGAAGAACAACTCAAAGCAAACATACTGGAAGAAATACTAGAAGACTCCGTCGCTTTGGGAGAACACATTCATTATGTCCCCCACCAGGCAGTGATTACCCCGCAGAAAACGACTACAAAATTGCGGATCGTATTTGATGCTTCAGCGCACTACAAAGCCTCACCATCGCTGAATGATGTGTTGCACAGAGGGCCAGTCATACTTCCACAACTGTATGGCATCCTGTTACGTTTCCGAATAGGAAAAATCGCAATGATTTCGGACGTGGAAAAAGCATTTCTGCAAGTACGACTTCATGAAGCTGATAGAGATGCGACCAGATGCCTATGGCTACGGAACCACAGATCTCCACCTAACCCCGAAAATATCAAGACTCTCCGCTTCACACGTGTCACCTTCGGCCTCGTCACGTCACCCTTTTTACTAGCAGCGACGACACATTTTCACCTCGACCAATATCCCGAAGATCGGCTTCTCACAACGGAGATCAAGGAGAATATGTACGTCGATAATCTCATGATGACGGCCGACACCGAAGAAGAGGCGAATCATATTTACCATCGAACCAAAAGGATATTCAACGATCTGAAGATGAATCTCCGTGAGTACGTGACCAACAATGCTAACGTCGCATCAAAATTCGATACGAAAGACGCATCTTCGGAAACCAAGCCGAAAGTTCTAGGTATCAGATGGAACTCCCGTGAAGACACCATAGATGTCTCATGTGCAATGGAAAATCACTCGGAAGTATCTAAAAGAAAGGTTGCCAGCATGATTGCTTCAGTCTACGACCCGATGGGATGGATGCTTCCTTTGATGCACAGAGCAAAGCTTTTCTTGCGAGAGCTATGGCAGATAAGTTGTGATTGGGATACGCCCTTGCCGCCCGATCTCTACAAAAAATGGAAGAAGATTTGTAAAGGCATGCATGGCTTTACAAAAACTCTGCCACGCTTCGTCTGCACAAGAATGACGGATGCTATTCTTATAACGTTCGCAGACGCAAGCGAGGAAGCTATCGCAGCATGCAGTTATCTACGGTTAGGATCCAATTCCACGCAACTTTTGATGGCAAAAGGGAAACTCCCTTCACTCAGAGGAAAATCGACTATACCGAAACGGGAATTGGATGCAGTGACGTTAGCGTTACGGATAACGAATTCAATCTTAACACAATTGCAATCAGTGCTACAAGTGAATCAAGTCTTCGTATTTTCTGACTCAGAGATCGTGCTAAGCTGGATAAGAAAGAACCCTTTGAAGGACGTTGGACCAGTGATATTCCGAAGGCTGCTTGAGATAAACAAGATTTTGAAGCATCTCAATGACCAGGGATACACAATTCATTTCCACTACGTCACGTCCGAAGATAATCCAGCAGACGCAGGCACAAGAGGACTAAATCTCGAAGAACTGCAAAACCACATGTGGTGGACAGGTCCGGAATTTCTCCAAAATCCACAGCAGCAATGGTCACAAAGCGATTGGCACGTCACAATGGAAAGCACCGTCAGGGACGGAGAGGAAGTCTCAGTGAAGGAAAAACAAGTTCTTGCAACTAGAACTGCCGAAGAGTGCCAAAGCGAGGGAGACACGGCAGTACTGTCATTGTTGCAGCGACGCACATGGCAGCAAACAAGGCGCATTGTAGCCTGGATCCTTCGCTTCGTCAGGAACGTTGTAGGACAGGCAAATACCAACAACCAGTCACCCATATTATTATCTACGCTACTTTCCGTACCGAGGAACGCCGTGGGAACAAGGCTAAACGGAAAGGAGATACTCATCGCAGGAAAGCTGCTCATAAGGCTTCATCAACAGCAAATAACCTCAAAAGTCATCAACTCCATGCAACGGCTGAATATCAAGAAAGATGCCGAAGGCCTTTTCCGATGTTATGGGCGATTGGGAAACAGCAACCTAGATGATGACGCCAAAATTCCGTTGATCATCCTACAAAACTCGATGTTGGCGGAAAGAATCATCGACGACTGCCACGGCAGAGGACATCTATCCGTAAGCCATACTATGGCGAACATACGTCGGCAGTATTGGATACCAAAACTGCGAGCACAGGTCACGCGGTTTGTAAGACGATGTGTACCATGCCAAAAGTTCAACAATCTGCCTTACAAGTATCCGGAGCAGACAGATCTTCCTGCGAGACGAGTGCAAAAATCTAGACCGTTTGAGCATGTCGGATTGGATTATTACGGACCCTTGCCAATTGCACTACCTGATGGAACAGATGGTAAATGTTACGGAAGCATAATCACGTGCATGACCACAAGATTAATCCATCTGGACATAGTTTCCGACATGTCGACAACAGCCTTCCTCTGGATGTTGCGGCGCTTCTTTGCAAGAAGGGGAGTTCCACGATCAATCACCAGTGATAACGCTCCCACGTTCATGCTAGGAGAAACTATACTCAGAGAAGCGATTCAAGCTGCCGAAAGCGATCCTGCTATTGAGCGTGAAGTACTCGACAAGGAAATTGAATGGCATTACAACACTCCATACGCACCGTGGCAAGGAGGCTTCTACGAACGTCTGATAAAGTCCGTAAAGCAAACACTGTACAAAACTCTGGGCAAATGCGTGCTAAGCTTCGAAGAGCTAACTACGGTTACCATTGAGATCGAAGCGATCCTGAACACGAGACCCCTGTTATACGTGGAATCAGAATTCGCAAACGAAAAGATATTGAGGCCGATCGACTTCTTACAGAATGAGATGAGGATCTCTTATCCACTGGATGCGGTAAATGATGAAGGAGAGGATCCGTCTTACTTGCCACCAGCTGAGAAAGCCTTGCTTCGTACAAAGGCGCAAGCAGTCCAAGCCTTGCAATTTTCTTGCAAACTGACCGAGAAATTTTGGCAGCTGTGGCGAAATCACTATTTGACAGCCCTCCGAGAAAAACATCAACGTCAAGTAGGAAGTCAAAGAAGTTCGAGCTATACTCCGAAGGTCGGCGAAGTTGTCTTGCTGTGTGATCCAGTCCAGCCAAGATATGCTTGGAAAGTCGGACGGATAGAAGAACTTGTCAAAAACACCGAAGGAGTTGTGAGAGAAGCTCTGGTGAAACTTCCATCTCAAAGAAGGATTCGCCGGCCGCTTAACCTTCTTGTACCACTAGAATTAGAAGAGGGGGATCAACAAGCGCAAGAACCCACTACTGCAAGTACCGACAGTAGCAATGAACAAGAGGAAGCACACCCCTCGCGATATGATCTGCGACCTCACCGGAGGATGGATTACAAAGGAATGAACGCGATGCCAATACAAGTCAAACACTTCCAGACGAACGCGCTCCTACTGATCTGTCTTCTGAGTGCATTTTGCGGAAATGCGAATGCATTGGCGAAGGTACTAGCGAAGAAAACACATTCAATTAAATGCATTCCAGGAGGAGTTGAGTTGCTTTCCAAGGAAACTGTCCCATATGAGGTCTGTGCGGAAGACTATTGCAAATCAATCTCAGCGCCAAAGACAAATGAAACTATCCATTTTCCGCCACAAGTAACGCTCTATGAACAGTTTGTCCAGTGGAAACTTCTGTACAATGAAACATCAGGATAATAGAAACTACCTGCCCGCCAACTCCGTTCTGCGACCAGATCGATTGCATACTCTGTTCAGCGGTCATTTTCAGTCCTGAATGCTGGCCTGTTGGAGCGATCGTAGCGACTACAATAGCCATCTACTTCTTCATAACTGGATGCTACGTATTCTGCTATGTGCCGCTCACGCTCGGGAAGCCATGTCGGATCGCATTACGCCTTTTGTGGAACGGCATCAGGAGCATTGTTCGCAGTGGGTGCCGACCTTTACAACGAGCACGAAGACGACAGCAAATCCGAGCATCGGAACTTATAGAATTACTTGCTATTGTCGCCGTAATGAGCATGACAGTCGGTACAGCAGAAGGATGTCAATTAGTGAATCTCTTCTCGCACAAGTCTGCCGTGTGCACAAAGGCAAATGGAACCGAGATTTGCAAGATTCACGTATCGGAAGTCCTCAAAATCAACCCTTTCAAAAGAGAGGCATGTTTCAGGATAATAAGGAACAATTCAACCATCCATGAGGTTAGGGCATCGTGGAAACTGCTCAGTCTTGCCTGTGAACAAGAGCACGAAATGTACACTCGCGACACTGTCTACAATGTGGTGGACAGCAAAAGATGCCCGCACACAGGCTCCTGCGTAGGGAGCAAATGCGCGTCGATAAACGCCACAAGCCTCATACCGGAGCTAGAGAAAGGGAATCACTATCCAGGAATCACGGCCTGCGTCGAATCCTGTGGAGGACCAGGGTGCGATTGTTTCTATTGGAGTTCAGGCTGCCTTTTCTATCGCATCTACCTCACCCCAGTATCCCCACAAGTATTCGAAATTTTCCACTGCAATCGCTGGACGTTGGCAGCCAAAGTCAAGTTCACGGACTTTGATGCAATACAAGGAGTGACACGCATATTTACGGCAATCATGGTTCCCAATGTACCCATCATCTGGAACGCGTTCACTCTCACACTAACCTCGGTAACCATCCCACCAATTCCGCTGCTAAACACAGCTTTCATCACCGATGGAAACAACACGGCACTCTGGAATTCCGTGATGAAACCGCCTCTTTGGTGCACCAACAAAACTGCAGCAGAACAACTGGACTGCACGGTTATAGACAACTGCCAATGTGCACCAGCGGAAGTCCAAGCTAACTGCAAATGCCGAGACGTAAGCATCTCTGAGATCTTTGGGGACGTCAGAAATCGTCTGCCAGCTATATTTCCAGCGGTTTCATTCAAGCAAAACGACGAAGGACAAGTAAAAGCTGAGGTACAGAGCCTAACGACAGCTGAGATCATCGTAACCATCCAAGAAAATGTACGAACAAATGTGGTGGTGGATAGCACAGTCTGCACAATCGCGGATGCAATTCTAACAGGTTGCTACAAATGCGCCAGGGGCGCAAAAGCTACAATCAAGTGTACGGCACCAAAGCAAACTCAAGCCGAAATCATCTGCGAGTCTGCCAGTTTCACTGTGGACTGCGACCAACAAGGAGCGCTTTCGGAGCTTCAGTTCAGCCTAGATCGAGCGAGAGTGCAAATGACATGCTCAGGGTCTTGTGGAACAATTGTAACAACTTTTGAAGTAGGAGGCATTCTCAGATTCACACAAACAGCTCATGGAATGATGACACAATGGCTGTCTGGAAACGGAGACCAAGCAGCAGAAACTCAGTGGCCAGATTTTTGGCACATCGCGGAAGTCTTCCTGCAGTGGTACAAAACACTGATAGTAGCAGTAATCGCGCTACTAATCGTTTTGGGAATCACCTACGCTTGTTTTTCACTGCAAGGAGTGTGTTGTGGATTCCGCTTTCTCAAAGGAATTATGCTGCTCATACTACTGTTTTTTCGTCTCCTATGCCGACCTTTCTGCCTATTGCAGTCAGAAATCAAAGAAAAGCTTCATGAGAAACTCCTCTAAGATTTTGCGATATTATTCTCTGAAAAAGGCAACTTATCATCATCCTTCACCCGTTGATATCGTTCTACCGCCTCCACCACCGCCAGCTGAAACTGAGTCAGTCGATTTTAACGTCACCGAAACCATCGTTCTACCGAAGAGTTCTGACAAACTGGATTTCTCAAGGAGATGGCTTCAAGACGATCTTATGTCGTTGGCTCATCAGCCACCGGTACCCATTATGATGATGCCAAAGCAGTGCTCAAATTACAACGACGTCTATGAGCATTCATTGGGCAGCTGCTCGGCCGAAATTGCTGCTCTTAACCTAGCCGAAAAAGAAGACGCTAGAAGCAGAATATGAGGACGAAGGCGAAGGAGACGATTGATGGAGAATAACGATCATCAAGCAGGCCCGGAGTGTCGAGAAACTCGACCGATAATTTCTATATTTTCTCTGTATTTTCTGTTTAATGATTCATTTTTGATTGCCTTTGAAAGCTGAGTGCGCGGCAAGCTCTTTCTTTGTACGCTGCAGCTGCGCCGAGAATCAAGTAAAAAGTAAGGGGGGCCGCAGCTGGCGACCTCCTCCTTTCGTTCTTGACTCAAGCGTCATTTGATTGTCATTGCTTCATCTTATTTGGTTGTCTTATATTTACTTACATTCTTAGTGCGTTTACTTGCTTATGGTTCAGGTAGACAAAAACATATCAAGTATTTTATCCCTAACGTTTGCCATAATCAGAATCTCATGTCAAGCTGGTATTTTATTTTGTGTGCATTATCGTTTATTTGAATTTTATAGTTGTTAATAAAGGTTTAATTACCCAAGTTTGAGGTATCTCCTCGTGCACAACTCCGTCACTCTAAAGACCCGCGTGGCAGTTGATTTTGGTGTCTTTGTCTAGTGGTATTCGACGGTTATAGTATTGACTATATATAGAACCCGTCCATTTGTTACAGAAATTCTTTTTGAAGGTAAGTTAACGAGTGTTTTACAACCCCAGAAAAGCTGTGGCTGCCACGCCTTTTTAGGTTTGTGCCACACCCCATTAATTTACCTTCAAAACATGCAAATATCTGTGTTTTCTACGTCGTTGCTACTGCCGATCCTTCTCCTCTATACAGCATGAATTTTATTCGAAATCATTGCCCCTAGGACAGATACTCAGGCAGCCGAGGACAGGCGGTCCTCAAACTCGCGCTTTCTTGCATGCGTTGAGCAAAATTTTGGAGCGTAGTCGTGAACCTTTAACAGCGATACTTTCTTTACTATCGCATGTTCCGCCAGCGGTCAGCATTACAGAGTTTTCTGCGAGCGGTCGACGAATTTTCAGCAAGCGCTCTGACTCTTGTTACGCAGTTTTAAGCTTACACCGAGAAAGGTAACGCTCCACATGGCAGAGGTGTCGCCGATGGTTTAGTTATCCGAGTTTGGGGTACTTTCTTCAAGTGGAAGGTACCTACTGTGCAGTACTTCAAAAAGGACCGTGCGGCCCCCAATAATTTTGCACATTCTTGCGGAAGATCCGCGAGATTGCGGCCATTAGTCTATGAAAAAGCAAACCGCACAATTCAGTGAACTATTTTTCCGGTGCCCGCTTGCCCATAGTCGCAAGACCGCCTTTCCGGCATTTATCTGAGTATAGTATTTTTTCTGATCTGTCCATAGGGAAAATATACGAAAATATTGGGTCACGGTGACATGTATTAGGTCGTTTCAAAAGTAATTTCGCTTTTTCAAACGGGCACCACATTTGACGGAATAGAGATTTCTAATTTGAAGCATTCGATGCAGAATTTCATTCTCTTTCTAATGGTTATGAAACTGTTGCAAAACATTCAATGATCTTTCAGAAAATAATCAAAATCTGCGACCTATGCTTTTTGAGATAGTCAAGTTTCACGGGAGACGGTCGAATGGCGCGTATTGATCGATTATCACCAATCAGAAAAACCGGGAAAAAAGTTCGAATATGTTTATTACTTCGGGAATTTCAACTAGTAATCCTCTGTTACTATTTCTGATATGATGACAAAGCTGTAGGAATTTGAAAACCTCGCTTTTGTAGAGTATAAAATCCCTTCTGGCAATGACGACTGCTGAAACGCGCGCCTTTCGACGTACACCCAAGTTTCACGATTTTTTAAAACTTTCATACCATTCCTCAGAAGGAGTTCAAGTAAGGATTCGATAGAGTAAACCTTATAGAATACAGCACTACTTTTATTCCTTTCCATAGCTTGTCATACATTTTTGACAGAATTTTGAGTGATGCTACCGATTTCTATACTTGGGCAGCTAAATCCTCATAGAATATCAAAAGAAGAGCAGCTCGCGCAGTATTCGATGCAGCATTTTCTCCTCTTTCTAACAGGTGTTTTTTGTTTCCGATTTGTTTGGTTTCCGGGGAAAAATCATCATGACTCATTTTTTTAGCGAGCCCTAGGCTGTACCCGAAAAACCCGAAATTTGATATTTCGAATCCGTGAACTCTCACTTGCATTGTAAAACCAATATTAAGTCATCTACCATTTTGGAAGTTTCAAATTCCGAATAATTACCGTTGTTTGATGCGATTGTGGCTGACGTAGGCCTGCCAAAATTCGATGGTTTTCTTGAAAAATCTTTTAAAAAATTACTGCGAGCTAGGAAAAAGAGAAAAAAGGAGTGCTGTATTCTATAACGTTTGCTCTATCGAATCGATACTTAAACTCCTTCTGAGGATTGGTATGAAAGTTTTAAAAAATTGTGAAACGTGACTATCTCATAAAGCATAGGTCGCAGATTTTGATTATTTTCCGAAAGTTCATTGAACGTTTTGCAACAATTCCATAATCCTTGGAAATAGAATGAAATTCTGCATCGAACGCCTTCAAGATCTCTTAAAAACCTTGGTGTTCCATCAAATGTGGCGCCCGTTTGAAAAAAGCGAATTTACTTTTGAAGCGACCTAATATATCTTCGATACTATGAGTCCTGCGGGAAGATGGTAAGAATAAATATATTCGATATCTTGAACCTCGTAAATCTTACAAACGTGATTGGGTCTTCTTGGCTGATTGGTCTTCCCTAAGCTGAGATATTAAAAGCGAAAAATGGAA